CAAATAACATTTTGAAAAAAAATAATAATTTTAATCCCAACTTTATAATTAAAAAATAAAAAATATGTTATTTTCGAATTCACATTTTTCGCGTTTGCGTACTTCGTTTTCCACCATTTTTGTCAACTTTTGGAAAGGATGGCATATATTTAATAAAATTTTAGCTAGTTCAAAATTGTTGTTCTTATTTCCATTTAATTCCTTTTAATTATAGGGCTTTAGTTAGAACAATTTAAATATTTTCTTTTCCATCTCTTTTCATTTACATAAGTAATTGTTTCAATATATTACAGCGGTTTTTAAAATAGAAAATATTTTAACATTTTTATAGTTTTATTTCGATTATGGGATTCAAAGATAAGTTTCCAATTTTTAATTTCAATCTTCAAAAATTTTTAATTTTTAATTCCAAATTTTCGAAAAATTCAACTTTTAATTCMAATTTTTGAGAAYTCCAAAATGTTAGGTATTAAAAGTTTTGTGGAAACTTCTAAAGTGGTAATAAAACATTCAAATACTACTTTTAAAATAAATTAAAAATAAAAAAATTTTGTTTTCAAGTTCTGATACTGACTTTTTGATTAAGAATTATATTTTAAAATTTTAATTAATAAAATTTATATTTTAATTTTTTAATTCCAATCAAAATTATTTTAAAAAGGGGAAAAAATATTGAAATTATAATTTTTTATCCCAAAAACTTCCAGTAAAATATTCGCAACTCTGCCTATACTACTATATATATATACCTATTTTTATATATTTCACCTGATGATATTATGTGATGCATGATAAATGATGCATGTTTGCTTACATTTGGATGCGCATAATGATTTTTATGATGCTAACTCAGATATATAAACATACATACATTTCTATGTGCTGTTAACACACCGGAAGTAGTCATTCCTTAAATTTAAATTTTTAATAATATAAATCTGTCATAGAGTAATCCGAAATCGACTTATATCCCTCGTCTACACACAGAAATGTACATATGTATGTATGTATTTGTATGTATACAAATGATATGGAAACACTCAACATTTCATTACCATGCAGTTGATTAGTAAACTGAATTATTACAAATTCAAATACAAACAAATTGTCAATCAGTTTAAAGGCAACTCACTCTCCATTAATAGTTTCCACTTAATTGTGACAGGTTGTTGGTTTGTTTCTGCAATTTTTAATCGCATGAAACTGCTTTTTAAACGTGGATTCTTATAAGGCGAAGTGATGTTGTCGGAAAGGGCAATATTTACGGTAGTATTATGTCACCTAAAGCTCAGTTGACCCAGGAAAAGTTAAAATAGACAAAACGCAATGTTATGTATTGAGTAGCTGTTCACAATTCAGAGCTCATTCAAGTATTGACTTATTGATACTATATTTTTTTAATTTGATGTAATGATGACATTTACTACATTATGATGAAATTTTCAAGGGCAAAAGGGATCAGATATTAAAATCGCCAAAACCAAGAAAGTTTCAAACTTTTAGAATCGTCGTTAGAATTATCAAAATTAAATCTATGCTGAACTATATCCTAGTGCTTTTATGTATATATCAATAAATATCATGAACTACTTGAGCATCCAAGTAAATACACATGCATAAAATATTTTATAAATGAGTGTAACTTACGTTTTACAATTAAATAATCCTTGCATTTGAATATAATCAATGACCCTGTCATCGATCAAGAATTTCACAGACAGATCGCGCGATATAAGACGTCGTATCATTGTAGAACTAACTTCGTTGGGTACCCAATTCGTTATTAACGTAATATGTTTCTTTAATAAGGAAAAAAGAGCATAAAACATTTTTGTGACCACTACTATTCGAAAAAACAATACCTGATATTTCGTCAACATATCTGACTCGAAAATGAATTTTTCAGGATTAGAGCCATAACGTGAAATAACCACTAAACCATGATTGCCAACAATGTCTTCAATCTTAAAACAAAAATGTATTTATTAAATTGCATGCGAAATGTCTGAAATATATTTGCGCTAATGCTTACATCCTTATCTGCCCATAATCCCGGCACTGCAAATGATTCTAGTAAATCAGCTCCGCACAGCAATTTCAATTGCACGCCATCCTGCCGCTCACGCAAACCTGTAGGCATCCAGCTAGGTAGTGTACCGTTCATGTCACTTTCTAGTGGAGAGTTGATATAGTTATTCATATAGTTTTGATGGTACTGCAGAACGGAGATTGTGCGTGACCATTCCGATTGTTGTATTTCCCAGTCTGAGGGCTTAAAATTAAACATTTAAAGTAGTTAATTAATACACAAAAGCCTGTAGAAATGGTATTGCGAAGTTACTTTTATCCATGTTGTGGATTGCAATGCCAATTTCAACATAGCAAATCGATGTGTGCCAGCAACGAGTCCTTTTTTCTGATATGAATCGTGTGTGGGTGAAACGATGCCACCAATGACGTGATGTGTTCCTTGTGTTTTGTAATAATCACGGGCAATTTCTATTTCATAAAGGAAAAATAGAATAAAAAATATATTTCATATATTCGCATATTTACTCTGAAAGCGCTTTATAGTATTTCACAATCTTACCGAACATTCGACAGTGCATTGGCGTCGGTGGGCTGAAAGAACCACAGGCTATCAGAACTATCCGAGGCAACACGCGCTGATTATTCATTTCTTCATCTTTAATTATTGTCGACATTCTGGTTGTTTATATAATTCTTGTCATGAACAATAAAGAGAAAAATTCAAAAGTGTATTTTGCAAACACGGCAAGTTGACCTTCGAAACAATGAACTAATGAAACCGTAGAAACGAAGAAGTCGTAGAATGAAGGTGTGCATTGATAAGAACACTTTATTATTTTATTCTAAATAGTACTTACGTTTAATTAATCCCAGAAGTATTTTATAAATAAAGTTAATAAAAAATTTATGAACTTGTGCAATATTTTACAATTTAACAAGAAAACTGTAAATCATATATTTGTTTGTTTATATCCTTGTACCAGAGAACGTATATTTATAATGCACGTTCTCTGGTTTATATTCTTCAATATTTACGAAACTTGTGAAAAGGGGAAAATGAAATAAAGTGAGCGCCATCTGCTGGCGCTGTATTGTATGACGCAGAGAACGTAAAATAATTACTTTTACTTTAAATAATTACTTTTACTTTTACGTTCTCTGGTATAAATAAAAGTGAATAACTTTAAAGATGCCACCCCTTATATGCGCATATTTCGTATAACGAATAGATCATAATGGTACATTATTGTTAAAATAATTATAAAATTTAAATTAACTGTTCATTTTTTATTACTAACTTCATGTGAAATATTATAACCAAATTATTTATCTACCCGTAAATTATAACTGTTATACATATGTAGTAAAGTTATGTTACTTTTCGGTTTCTTGTGAATCGATAAATTTAACAAGTACTACCAACCTGACAATGTTCACTCAAACTGACAGCAAACTGACAAGTAAATCTTTTTGTATATTTGTAGTCAGCCGTAATTATTGCAATTGTCGTGCGTTGTGCAAATAGTTATAGTGATCATAAGTATTTAAAAATGAATTTATGAAAAGTTCTACTGGCGAAAAACTTTGGAAACTCCGCCAAATGAGCATGGCATTGGTGACCGTGCAGCGTTCGCCGAGTGTTACTGGTTCGCCGCCACAATGTGGCTCGGTGAGTTTGTTTGTCCCACAAAGGGAGCGACTCTAAAAAGATGGAAAACATTTTTCCACTCCCTTTTATTTGTTAGAATTCAGTGAATTCCGTAAAGACCTATTGTTTAGTGATATAATTTGATTTTTTTCCATTTTTTTTATATGTTTTCCACAAATATGTACAATACATAAGTGATGTGCAGTGACTAAAATAATTTTCTTCTGTATATATTGAAGGGGAGGAGACGTAATTTCACATCGACTCCCTATGCAGGAAAAAGATATTGTGACAATACCATCTCCCTAAATCAAGTAGAAATGAAATACGTCAAAATAATTATAATGAGAAGCAAATATGTGTATTGAAGCAGAAAAAATATATTGCCTAGTGATTTTATATGTTACTCGATCGTAGGTTGGCCGTTTTTTGCATAGTGATTATGTTAGTAGTTTGCTGATGTTTCTTTTCTTACATATTTCCTCGTTGCCATTTTATTGTCGCTGCAATCATACCGAAATGTGCAAAAGAAGGAAAAGTGCGTTGCGCAAATTATTCACTTTTTTCATATGTGGCCAATGGTGTAGTAGTTGGCGTTGACTTCGACGTCGCGATCATCCATGCAAACATTTATGTTTTTTCTTTAGTATATGTTTATATCGGCGTTTGTTTTGCTTTTATTTCTTTACATTTGTTTTGTATTTAGTATGTTCGAAAGGTTGATCTAAGCTTGATAATGCATGCAGTTCGCTGTAATTGTTATTTCTTGTTCTTTTTTTTTAAACTTGATTATGAAGCGAAAATAAAAATGAGTAATTTAGATGATGCTAGTACTTCCGGTCTTTAATTGAATGTCAATTATGGCGCTAATTAAGAGACCACCTTCGAAAACATTACTTTACAATAACAGTGTTAAATATAAATCTGTCGTAATCTCAATAGTGCACATACATATATTAATTGTATATATAGTATGTATATACATTTGTATATTTAATATAATATTCGAAGAAAATATATTTTCAGCCCACAATTTTCTTGACCTTGTTCTGAACAGACGCAGACGCGAACATCAATGCTATAACGAATATAGATATGTATTGCGCAAATTTATATGTAAAAAATGAACGCACATACATAACATACTATATCTTTATATACATGCTTACATATAAACACATTTTAGATCGACAATAGTTGTAATTATTAGCATTACTGTGAATATTTTGGTATATTCGCATATTCCATGAATGGTCTCTTTGTTTTGTCTCATATCAAATATTTTCTTTTTATGTATATATACTTGGGTGAATGTTTACGCGTTGTTATTTTACATTGCTAAATAAGTTTCCTTGTTTGGTTGCAATTATTTCGTTGTTATGGCATCACTGATTGTTATCAATGATGGAGGTTTTAAGTCTTGCTTATCATAGGGGTTTATTATGACTCACACATTTTACTGCCCAACAATTAGAAGAGGGTTATCTACTGATAGTGTTTTTAATTACACAAAACGTTAGTGTATTAAAGTTTTTGAACGAGAAAAAAATACGTTTTATATGTTTTTCAACTCTTGTATATAATAATATAAATTTGGTATACTAAAATATTTTTCAATGATTTTGTCATTTCATTTTATTCCCTATTTATATAAAGCTCCTTTCAAAATCATTAACTAATAATTCGCTATATGTACCTAGTAAACATGTGTAGTTAGTATGTAGTGAATGCAGTGTAGGATAGGCGGGAAAGATCTGGAAGGAGAAGCAGAATTTCTTCCGTTACAACAACAACAACCGGGGCACTTCAAAAATGTCATGCAATTTTTTTCCTGCAATAATACAAGGAAACAAACGGAATAGAACTCTGAAAAGAAATTATTAATATATGCGTATTTAATTCATCCTATTTTATAAAATTGTTTACAACAATTATTTTTAAACTGCTATTTTATTTACAGGAAGGAGAAACTGAGGATGATGAAGGCAATAGATCTGAAAAGAGGTAATATAAATACAAACATTATGTGATGTTTTCATAAATAATATATTTTTCCACATTTATTATAGCGAATGCTTCTTTGCCGTTAAGGACACTGTTCTGGGGCTTGCTCTTAAGGATGTTGCAGCAAAAACTAATGAACGTCGCGCAAGTACAGATTCGGCAAAATCGACTAATAGCACACAAAGTAATAATTCTGATATTCAACAACACTTACAATCAATGATTGATCTACTTTACCCAGAGGAAACCTTGAAGATGGTAAAATATGCAACTAGTACATATTGTTGTATAAACTAAACTATTTTATTTTTCATATAGGCTGTTAAATTAGAGTCCCAACGACCGAATCGCACAAGGTATCTAGTGATTGTATCACGTTGTTGCTACCGCCCCACAACCACCGATCGAAAAAATAAAATTATGCGACATAATTCGACTAAAGCGAACAATGCCATAGCATCGGCAAATATCGTTACTATGCGTCAATCATCAGCGGATAGTATTAAACGAACGCCACAACAGCAGCAGTCACAAACGGAGTCAAGTAGTGGTGGTGAGGAGTCAACGGATGCTCATGACAAAAATTACACCAGCGGATCTCAATCTGCGAAAGCAACTCAACGGCAGACCATAAAAAGTGATGAAGAGAAAATCAGTGCCTCAGGCGATAGTAAAGTTTGCGAGGATGGTGTCGAAGAATCCTGTCTACTGGGCATTGACTGTAACGAACGTACCACAATTGGACTTGTATTGCCTATACTTGCCGATACGACAATACATCTCGATGGTGATGGGTAAGGCTACAAAATGTATGCTTATAGTTTTATATTAATTAAGTAATTTTTATTTGACTAGTGGTTTTAGCGTTTCAGTTTATGGTAAAACCCATATTTTTAAGCCTGTTTCTGTGCAAGCTATGTGGTAAGTTTATGCTTATACATAAGTATATTATGTAAAACTCAACTAATCTTTAATTATTTATCTTTTAAGGTCTGCATTACAAACATTACATAAAGTATCGCAAAAGGCTCGTGAGAATAATTTCTATCCCCGCGGTCCATCGCACGATTGGACATCATTTTATGATAGCCATATCGAATCTGAACAGTCTTGCCTGAATGAGTGGAATGCTATGGACTCAATCGAAAGCCGACGTCCCCCTTCGCCAGATGCCATACGAAACAAGTATGTTAAGAAAAAAATTTTACAGTTATATAAGCATGCGTTATTAATTCTATGCTTAATGTATTCATTATAGACCAACCGCAAAGGAGGAAACGGAAAGTGTTATAAAAATGAAGTTGAAGGAAATAATGATGTCAGTGGATTTAGATGAGGTTACCTCCAAATATATACGTGGTCGACTTGAAGAACTGCTTGATATGGACTTAGGCGAATTCAAGTCATTCATTGATGCGGAAATGTTAACCATCCTGGGTCAAATGGATGCGCCAACAGAAATTTTCGATCATGTCTACCTTGGTTCGGAATGGAATGCCAGCAACTTGGAAGAATTGCAAAAAAATGGGTATTTTATTATTTTTATATTATTAATGCATATCTATTGTTTACAAAAGTACACCTTATTAATAAGTATTTATTTCAGTATACGCCATATACTTAATGTAACTCGCGAGATCGACAATTTCTTCCCGGGTGTATTTGATTACTTTAATGTAAGAGTATATGATGATGAAAAAACGAATTTGTTGAAACACTGGGACAATACATTTCGTTACATAACTCGTGCCAAATCGGAAGGCTCTAAAGTACTGGTACACTGTAAAATGGGTGTCAGCCGATCGGCATCAGTGGTAATCGCTTACGCCATGAAGGCATACAACTGGGAATTTAAGCATGCACTGCAACACGTTAAAGAACGCCGAAGCTGCATAAAGCCGAATAAGAATTTCCTTAATCAATTGGAAACTTACCGCGGCATGTTGGATGCAATGAAGAATAAAGAAAAACTGCAGCGCAGTAAAAGTGAGACGAATCTGAAAAGCACAAAAGACGCGCGTCTTCTACCTGGCAGTGAGCCCACACCACTCATACAGGCCCTAAATCAATCCAAATCAAAGTCAACCGGCGGTCATGACGATGTAAGCTATGGTGATAACGTTGTGGCATGTACCGATGGAAACATTTTGAGTGGCAAAAGTGTTGGACGATCAAAAGTTTCAGCCGCCATTAATAGTGGCGGCACAAATGAAGCCAAGCAACGTCGCCTGGTGCGTCGGTCCAG